GCCTTGGTTCTTTCAATTCTGCTAGTGAAATACAGGAAGAAGTCCCACAGCACCTAGCCACAATACTGACACATCTATGACCCTGGACTCTTCTCTTTTTATCCTTTAACTCTGAAAATCATTGTCTAAATAACCCAAGTGGAAGTAATTCCTTACCAAGAAACTACAGAGAATAAAAGGAAACAAGAATTTTGCTTCAAACATCCAAGTCATGTTAGTTTTCATTTTGATGCAGTTGGCATTTAAAAAAAATGGAGCAGAACAAAAGTACTGGCTTAACTTTAAACTTTTTTCTTTTTTTTATTTTTTTTTAGTGAGGTATTTTTAAAAATTGATTTAAATAGGAAGTTTCTAGGAATAAATGTCTCATATTTTGCAGGAGAGGACAGAATATAAAAGCTGAAGTCCTCCCAACACAATAGCATAGGCACATCAAAGTGAAGTCACTAAATATTTCAGCATCATTAAAACAGAATTTGTTTATTTCCTATAAATATCTTAGCTAAGGGATTTTTCCAATCATCAGTCTTGGTCAGTTACTACCAGAATTCAACTGCAGCCTGTCTCCATTTCAAGTGAGCAAGCCCTAGTAAAGGGTAGAGATGAAAATCTCATGCTACCACAAAAAGTAATTCCCATAACAAGACCTGCTTGGATGGAAATGAAGCATCTTGTGTAAATACCTAGAAAGCCCTTCTGAAACTTGAGTTTGGGAGCCCCATAAATCCAAGCACCAGAAGCAGAGGAGGATGGGAGATGTAAGATTGCAACTCCCCAGACAGGACCATTCTCAGTGGCTTTTTTCCTTTTCCACTTGTCCAACACCAAAGAAAATGACTGTGCTGGACAGTAGGAATGTTTCCCTGCTCAGCGGTGATTATACACAGGCTCTTCTCTGTCCCAGGGAACAACACACAAGACAGCAGTTTTCAGCTGTGAGACACTCTAGTTTTCATCTTTTCTCTGCTTAAGGCAAAATCTTGGCAGAACACGCTGGAAAACCACAAAGGATATTGCAGTCTTGGGGTTAATGGCTGTGCTGCTGAAAACTTTGCAGAGCCTTTGACTTATCTCATTAGCAAGCCAGAGATCTGCTTTGGCATTAGATGTCACCTATGCATTTGGAACAATCCCCAGCATCAATAAATCTCAGCAAACATCCCCTCACTGCAACCCAAGTGCCTGCAAGGGTGCTAATCCCCAGCCAACATTCACTTGGCTAAATTATTTTTAAAAGATGATGCAGCTAATACTCCTTATTCCAGAGAATCCTGCATTGTTTTCCTTGTAAATTGCTCCTCCAAAAGGATAAAGGCTACAGCTTCTCGCTTTTCACTCCAAAATAACCCTTCTCCGCTGGAGCAGCCGCCTGTGAACTTGCCCAGGAAAAGTGAGACGCATCTGGTGAGTCAGAGCCCAGTCCCCAGCCCCAGCCAGAGTGATGGTCAGGGGCCGTGGCTGTGTTTTATCAAGCCTTGCTCTTTGTGCTGTGCCTGGCGTTTCTGTCTGTTTCCCTCCTGGATTTGGACGTCCCTCCCGCCGGTGGGGCTGGGGGGCAGGAGCGAGGCCATGCAGGAGTCAGCGGCATTGAAGGGCTCTGTGCTGGCAGAACAATGGGTTTGCTCCAGGCACAGCTACTGACTTTTAACAGCTCTTTGCCAGTAACCCCATACGGGATTGCATCATGGAAAATCCTAGTGGAAAGCTAGGAACAAAGGAAAGATGTCAGGCTGCTTTTAAAAGGGACTTGTTCTCAGAGCAGAGGAAGCCCTTTGGTGGCCAGAGTGGGAGGCTCAACCAGAGGAACCTGAGCTCTCTTAAAGACTGGAGGCAAATCTGGAGACATACACCAGACGGGAGAGATGAGAAAAGGGCAATGCTCAGGAGGCGACAGCTTTGCCTCACTTTGCAGCGTTCCTGCATTGTCTAGGGATGAAGTGTGTGTGTCTGTGTGGAAAAAATTCCTACGCAGATGTTATGTCCCTTTATTGAATTGTCCCCACGGTCGCTGAAGAGTCCAGAGTGCCGGTCAGGACAGACGATGCAACAATGCCCACGGGCTACTGTGCTCTCTTCTCTGATCCAGCATCCCCAGAAAGGGAGCCAGGCAAGAGACATGTCCCTGAAAAACAGGGCTTGGGACACTGCCTGGACTCTGTCCAGACTCGGGTAGCTGAAAAGCACCCAGAGCTGATTGTACAATGTATGACAAAAGATTTTGGTCAAGAGAGGCTCTGTTCTTCAATAGAGAAGCACAGTGAAAGGTACAAACAGGATCACCACTCCATTTCTGAAGGGATCACAGCTCTAAGTGGTATCACATTGCAAGCCCAATGAGAAACCTTTTGATGGGGGGTTAGAAAAAACAACACTTCGTAAGTATGGAAGAAACTGCTCATGAGAAGAAGGAAAACTCCCAAGGAGAACCCAGCAAAGACACTCTACAGTGCCCAACCATGGGCTCACTGAAGTCCATATACCGTGTGACTGTCTCTGATGTGATATCTAACTTACAAAGACGGACCTTCTTGTCTGCCTTTCTTATTCTAAACTGGTCTTTCTTTAACTCTCCAGGGACAGCATGTGGAAGGATAGTGCACAGCAGGTGCTTGAGAGGCTCTGCTTCCTACTTTGTCATTCCACTCAAAACACTCCATTTCTCATTGGCAACACAAGGACAACCCCAGCAGCCAGTGTGATGTACTTAGATCACATGGCTAAAGGAAGGACACTTGGGTACCATCCACAGAAAGGAAGCAGCAGAGGCTGTAAGCAAGCCTGGAAAACGAGCACATTTGCATTCTCATTAGCTATATGGAAAACAGCTAGGAAGATTTTTTTTTGGCAATACAGCTAGCCATTGACTTGCTTACTTGGCTGGAAGACTGATGCCAAGGAGCAGCAAAGCAAAGCAAGAGAGCTGGCCTTGAACCAAGGGATTTTGCAGAGCTCTCATTTTGCATTCATTCCCCTTAGTCTAGGGGTCTTAAGTGTTGTCAATTTTAGGGCCTGATTTGGAAACTGGATTGCAGAAGGAGCTCTTCCCTATTTGTATATGGGTGTCTCTGCCTTTCCTTTTCACTCCATCCTTGGCCAAACAGTCCAGATTTTGGACAGAAACTCCCACCCAAACTCCAATACTCCCGTGCCTGTGATTGTACAGGGCTGGCTGACTGGAGCAGGGCGTGGGGCAGGGCTGGCCCTGCTCTGGCAGCACAGTCAGTCTGCAGTGCCTGGCCAGTTCCCCTGCTGCTGGCTGGGGATGGCTCTGCTGCCACTCCTTGTCACTAAAGACACGCTCTTTGCTCAGCCAGCAGTGCTGGACACCACTCTGGGCTGCCTCAGTCCCAGTAATACTGGCAGTGCTGCTGGATGATAAATAACTGAGGGCACAGCACCTTGCCTGAGAGCCCCAGCACGGACTGGATATCTCAATCACCTTGTCCCAGTCGTCTCCAGAAACAGCAGCCACAGCAGGAACAGCACACCTCTCTCCTGCCTGTGCCAAACACCACCAGCAGGGACAGGACAGCCCCATGCAAACACCATGGAGAAGCCTATCCCAGAGTGCCTGAAGATTGGAAATGTTCCTGGTTTTCCATTACTGTGGCATTATGTGGGACTTTGCTTGGAAATGTTTGCTGCTCTGGGTTGCCCTCAGAAATCCTTACAAGAAGATGGAAAAGAGTGAAGCAGATATCAGCTGTGAAGAGAAACCCTTCTCCCACCAACTTCTTTTAAGGTTGGAGGTGGTTATATGTTTCAAACCTTTCCCCCACCATCATTTCAAATAAATGGTTCAAATTTGGTCTGCCTGCATTCACAGGCTTTTATGTTTGTTTACCAGCAATATTCAAACAATGGCATTTACTTTCAGGAACATTTACTGAAATGGCAAATAATAGAAAGCTCATAAACACAGCAATTCAGACCAGAATCTGGTTCTGAAAGTCACGTACCAGTATTTCAGAGAAGAAACAATGCCGTGTGAATATTCACCTAAGCCAAAGTCACCAGCACAGCTGAGATTTCAACCATTCACTAGTAACACGTTCATTATCAAGATATATTGCCTGAATTATTCTTAGATGCTATTCAGAGAATTATTTCAAATAATTAATATATGTAAGAAAATTACTGGCTCTGAACAGAAGAATTGAACTTGTCATATTAGAGCTGAATAAATGCCCTGCAACTATTCACTCCTCTCTTTTGGATACACTAATTTAATCAGATTCAATCTTTAACCCTATTGGGGCTGAAGGAGAAGTTCTATAGCTCTGCTTGCTGTGGTTTGGGACACAATCCCCAGGAACTCCATCCCTCTTTGTAGGGGGACTGTGGCCTTGTCTCACGGGCTCTCCATTGTATTTCAGGAAATAGAGTCATAGTTTTACCTTTCACTTACCTTAGAATAATTTCTGTGGTCTTCAGCAGAGCTGTGGTTACATGTCCATGCGCAGGACAAGAATTGCACCAGGTTTAATCTTGTCCACAGTTCATTGTTTCAGCATCTCAGAGGAGGTGCTGGCAAGAGCTGGCAGGACCTGGTGGTCCATGGCCAGATGGTGGGGACAGCCAAACCAGGGCAGGCTGGAACCTGTACTTGAATCTCCAAGAAACAAAGGAGTCCTGACGCTATTTGGGCTGGTCTCAGGTAGAGAAAAGTGAGTGCCACCAATTTGTCCAGACATAGACATGAGAGGAGTCAGATCCAGAAGCTGAAATTACCGACTTGTGCTGTTACAGAAAAATGCGGTGGCACGAACCACAGATCCTCAGCAGTCATGCATTTTGCTAACACCTTCAACAAGTGTTGTGGGGTTTTTTCATTGGTTTGTTTGGGGTTTTGTGCCAGTGGTGCTTTCCAGACACCAGAAACTCCTGTAGCCCTCTGTAGCCCACAGAGCAACACAACCCAACCAACCTGCACTTGCACCATAGGTGACTCCTGTCCCACAGCTTTAGTCTTTCACACTCACACAATGAACTCCTGTTACCTGTAAGAACAGCCTTGTCCCTAGAATCCCTCCAGCACATGTGGTGGAGCTTCAGGATTAAGGATGCAGGATCAGGCTTCACGTGGAGAAGAAATAAAAATATAGAGAGACATGTAAGACAAGTAGAATAACTAAGGGAAGAGGCATATTTACATGAAAGTTGCTAAATAGGTGTCTTGTTAACTGCATTGTGGCATTGTTCCCTGTCCTGTTATTCCCAAGGGCTTAATCCCTTCTCATGCAAGCCCAGGACAGGCTTAACTTGACTGAGGGCAGGGTCTAGGTTTTACCGGGCAACAGAGGTCAGTGTGGGGAAAAAGAGTCTGCCTAGCAGGGTTTGAAGAGGGATTTGGGTGAGGAAGGGGCCCAGGGGTCACAATGGGATCTTCTGCAAGACCTCAATGCTGCAGCTCATGGCATCCTGGCTAACCCAAAAACATAGAGCCTCAAGACCCAGGAGAACTTTTCTGCATCAACAATCAGCACAAAAAGTAGTAGCAATAACTGGGAGTATCTGAAAGGGGTTCTTTGCTATTCTCTCCCCCCTAACTCCCCCTTTTTTTATTTGCCTGACTGACAGAGGATTTAAATGCAAAGTGGATCTAATGCACACCCTGAAGTCGGCTGGCAGTATGCAAATGACCTGTCAGATTAAAATCTGAATGAAAGAGATAACAAGCTTATCTTCATAACAAAAGACTCTTAGGGCAAACTATTTGACGCAGTGTTGATGTTTGTTTTAACCCGTAGACTTTGGACAGTGCAATATTTCAGGGGCTTCACTCTCCTCACTCCCCGGTGCTTGCACGCCTGTGTGTGGTGTGTGTGTGTGTATTTGTATTTGCACTGGCAACAAAAGGCAAGTGCTGTGATAATAAAAAAAAAAAAGAAGCCTAGTGAGGGCTCTAACAGTTGATTTTGAAGTCTTTTTTGGGGGATGGCTCTGCAGAGCCAGTGCCAAACAAACCAGCAATAGGTCAACTCACGCTTGCGACCAGCACTACAGCTGCAGTGAGAAATAAGCAAACACAGCAGCAGGGGAAAGAATTAAAGGAGGGGGCTGGGGGTGAGGCGGGCGATTTATTCTTCTGGCACGTGCAGAGGGGCTGGAGATGGATCAGCTGTATTTATTCTGTGAAAAGGGGAAAGAAAAGGTGGCAAAAAAGCAAAGCAAGTTTCACTGCATCAGAGAAAACAAAGATTTTCAATAAACTCCCCATTGCCACCCGCTCCCTGGAAAAAGGGGGAGAGGAAGGAAAAAAAAAAGCTGCAGGTGTTTGCGAGGGGTCTGTATAGAAGCCATGCGGGGAATTAGCAACTGAGGCAAGTTGCCTTTGGAAAAGGAATCTGCCCTGAATAGATTTGCATTTCTTAATTTAGGGATCATCAGCAAACAAGAGCCAGAGAAAGCACCCCTCTGCAGCACCAGGGGCTTCAAAGTGAGCAGGGCCATGTGCTGGGCGGCCCAGGAGGCGGCTGGGCCCAAGACTGAGGCCTGCGAGCTCCCACTGGGGCCATGCTCCTGGGCTGGCCATTGAGGCTGGGAGCTCCCACTGGGGCTGTGCTCCTCAGGCCGGCCATTGAGGCCTTCCAGCTCCCACTGGGGCTGTGCTCCTCAGGCCGGCCATTGAGGCCTTCCAGCTCCCACTGGGGCCGCGCTCCTTGAGCCGTACCCTGAGTCCGGCTCCCTCCGGCCACCCCAATTTATCCTCCCCACACAATAGGGCTGTGCGAGCATTGAGGAAGTGCCAACAAATCCTCCCCTTTCAGCTCCTTCCCAATCCTCTAAAGCCCCTCAGTTAATGCCCTGCTGCTCTGCTCTCTTCCTGCTGGCCTCAAACCACCAAGCAGTGTTGACAAGCTTTTCCCCAGGTTGCAATTCACCCTGGTGCTGACCCCTTTGCTGCAGGGGACAGCAGAGGTGTGCCCATGCCAAAGGGACAGTGGCAAGAGTAGAGTCCTGAGATAGAGCCTGGACCTGCACCACCAAGCCAAGGCAATGGTCTCTGCTCCTTGCAGTGACAATGAATCCCAACTGCATCCCACACCCAAACCATTTCCTATTATTCATACATGTTCTTGTGTAAGGGCACTCTTTGCACAGGACACCTTCCCATGCATGGTTTTTAGTACTCCCCAGTCCTGCACTACAGAAATGTACCTACTCCAAATTACTCGGTAGGAAATAGGCTGGAAGAGAAATCCCAAATGCAGTTGTCTTGGATGAGACTGCAGAGCATGAAACCACAGGCCAGGGAGAGCCCTCCAGGGCAGGTCACTGCACTCCATGAAAAGGCCTTTCAATTCTGGAAGGGAAAAGCAAAAAGAAATGTTACATAGATGTTAAATGAGGAGCAATTTGAGCACTGTGAAACTTTGCCATTACTCCCCTCCCAGGTCTGGCAGAACATGAGATGGGACTGCAGCAGATAAACCAGGAGATGCAAAAGAATAGATGGAGTAGAATATGTCAGAGATACAGAGCCACAGAATTGTTTAGGATGGAAAAGTCTTTTCAGAACATAGAACTCAACTGTTTACCTAGCACTGCCAAGGTCACCACTAACCCATGTCCCTCAGTGCCACCTCTACATGTCTTCTAAATTCCTCCAAGGGTTCCCTTAAACCAGGAACTTCTTGAGAAAGGGCAGTCGTGACTCCACTCAAATCTACAACAAAGCTCCATCTGGCTTAATTATATTCAGCATTTCATGCCATCATGTCTGTTAAATGCCTTAGAGTGCTCTACTCAACCTCAGTACTGTATAGACAGTAAAAAGCCTTGAACAGAACATTTATGCCCTTGTCCTTTGCATCATTTGTCTGTTAGTGATTTTGGTTTTAAGAACTAGCAATGAACAAAAATCTGTATATTAATTAAGCCTATGAGGCACATAAGGCAAAACCTCCCTTGTGCTGGGCATTCACTTTTGGTCTTTTCTCAGCAATAAATCCAAGCAGCAGGATCCTCAGCTGGCATGACTCAACACAGCTCATTTGAACTCACACAGTGACACGCTGCTCCTCTGCAGCACAGATCCTGGCTCCATCTACATAAGCAAGAGTCTGTGTTTGCTCCAGAAAGGTAAGATAGGATCTAGAGAGATGACACTACCAAAATGAGGGTGGGAGGGTAAAGCCAGACAGCTGAGACAAGGCAGACAGTCCACGAAAAGCTGGAATTAATATATTAATTTTTAAATCTCCTCTTTTCTTTTCTTTTCTCTTTCCTTTCCTTTCCTTTCCTTTCCTTTCCTTTCCTTTCCTTTCCTTTCCTTTTCCTTTTCCTTTTTCTTTTTCTTTTTCTTTTTCCTTTTCACTGATGGGACACTGATGTGTAGTTGAGACTGTGCTCACCCAAAAAGATTTTTAAGATGAGTTGCTTCTAACAGTTTTTTTCGGATCCATATCTGGAGCATCCTGCTCCATCAGAGACCAAGCTACAAAACCTTAAACTCACGAGGCACACTCTCTTCCTGCCCTTACCTCCTGCGTGTGGGCAAACTCCCTCAAGTGAAGAACTTTTGGGCTGCTCTCCTGTTATCCTTGTGCACAGGGAACATCTGCCAGTGCCATGACGTGGGAGCCCTGGGCTCTGTTTCCAAATCCTCCACTGCTTCACAGGCTTTCTTCAGTCACAAACCTCCAGGACCTCTCTGTGCCTCAGTTTCCCTGACACAAAAAAGAAACTCCCACTTCCCCGTGCTTTTTCTTTAAATTATTATACCTTCCTTTTACAATGGCAGTGAACAGATGCAGCCAAAATAAAAATCACAGAGTAAAAATATACAAGAAAAGACAGTCCTGCTCCAGACATGGCTTTGAACACAGACTGCACTCAATTTGAACTGGCTCTGCTCATGTTATTTGCCAAAACATCAGCACTTTGTAAATAATACTGTGATTCCCTGCCTCATAGGGTTGTTTTAAACCCTCTGTCATCCTGTGTGGAAGAGCAGTGTGAGCATCAGCCTTTCCCATGTGAGGTAGTTTATACTGGTAAATCAGGGCATGTGGGAATAGACTCACAAGGATTTTACCTGTAGCTTCCATGGATTGCCCTGTTTCCAGTTGATGCCTGTTTTCCCCCTTTGCTTACAGAAGGATAGTGGTCAGGGGGAGTGCACTGCACTGCTGGCAGTGTAGAAGTAGCTAATATACAAAGCCAGAGATAAAGAGCTTTATGAAATAAAAAAACAATACAGAAAATCCCCTTGCATTCCTGAATCATCAGGAATTGACTGGCTTATACTCTTAGCTGTACAAGTATGAAATAAATAAAGACGATGTTGTTCATTTTGTGCGTGTGTCTAATCCTATATTCTCAATAAAATGCATTTAACCTTGTTCCTTTAAAAGAGCTCTGGACAATCAGAATCATCTTTACAGAAGACTGCGTCTGCTTCTAAATTAGCTTTTTAAAACGCAGCCATTCTCTCTTTCTCCTTTTCCAATTCCCATTCACACTTGGCACAGATAAACACAGGCAGGCCAGAGCTAGGAGCTCTCTGAATGTTTAAATGGAAGCCCTACTCCAGAAGAGCAGTGCTTTTCCTCCACAGCAAGGACACAGTTTGCTGTCTGCCCAAGCCATAAGAGATTCAAAAGTTTTGTTTGTCAGCAGCCCCTCAAATACCAAAAGTTGAGATAAACAAGGTTGCAAAACGACTACACCAGTCCATGTGACCACTCGTTACACACCTGGGAGATGGTTTTACATTCCAGTAATACCACAGAAAGCACCTCTCTCCCTCAGAAACATTCCTATCAGGTGCAGGTCAAATCTATTTAACCTAATTTTTGCCTATCCTTGCTTTACATCCAAAAGTCAAGTCCAGCTCCCAGCCTCATGGGGAGTCGTTCACAAAACTGACCTCTGTGTCAAGCACAAACTTGGGAACTGGTGTGGAATTTGACCTCTAGCATTTGTTAATAACCTCCTTATTAATCATCTTTGTCACCTCTCCTGTGCCTCCCCTCTGTAGATGCAGCAGCACCTTGTGAGCCACGGTGAACTAAAGTGATGGTGTGGATTAAGAAGGGTATCTTCCTTTTCCACATGGGAACAGAGGAGCACATGGGGCTGTGTAATTAATGCTCAGGAGATGGGGGCTGCTGGCATTTTCCCTGCTGCAGATAACTCCTGCCAACACTCAAAACCTGCTCCCACTGTGATCCTGAATGCACAGGGATAGGGCTGCAGTGTGGGAGGGGAGCCACAGTGCTGCTGTGCTGGGGGGATGGAAATGATAGAGGAAAATGAGCACATTTATGGTTGAGGATGGCATGTGTGCTGGGTGGGGGAATCACAACACAGAAACCATCAGGGAGAAAGTTTCCATCCTGCAAATGCTGGAATTGAACCACCCTTATCATCACCAGGGCTGCGTAACGGCGCGCTTGAACGATCAAATTACTGTTCTGTCTGTGAGCTCAGGTTAAAATCCCAGCAGAGATGAAGTCTGGCTTTAGCACAGGGCTTTGCACTACTTACAGGTGGCTCAGCTCAGGCACTGCTGTGCAGCTCTGCTGCCGGTGACACTGGCACAGCTGATGGGACTGATGTGGGAGGATGTGCCTCGGTGACGTGAGCAGGAGCCAGCAGGCAGGACCTCAGTGTCCAGGGCCCCTCCTGGGCTCTGTCTCTGAAGCCCTTGAACCAGCAGGTTTGAGTCAGAGCCCTAGACAGACCCAGGGAAAAGGTAATGTTATATCCAAGTCTGTAATCCCAATGTTACCACAGTGAGATCCCGTCCTTACCCCTTTCAGTCCCTTACAGCTTTGGAAAATAAGTATTATTCACTTGACGTATTTCATCCTCGCATTCAGCAGCAAAGCAAAATCCACAGGGTGAGGTTTTCCCTTTTATTAGACCAGCTGGAAGCACTGGAGGGGAAAAGACAGACAAGTTATCAATGTCTAAGCTCCTCTTCAAACAGTGTGTGTAAGAATATTCCAAACTGTGGTCTACAACTGAAATTTCTGCTGATTTAATAATATCCTAGACAGATTTCTTACATTCTTAGTTGAGTATTTGTAGATCAGTACTGTTTTGCATGTCTCAGGAAAACAGCCCCACACATTAGTCATGGGGAAAGTGCAGAAGCATCTCCCTGGGTGGTCACACATTACATTGCACAAAACCATACTGGGAGTGAGAATAAAAGAACTCCTTACCTCACAAAATCAGCTTTTCACATAAAAATGCTTTTTGAATAAAAAGTTTTGAGTTTTTTTTTCTTTTCAAGCAAAAAAAAAAAAAAAAAGTAATTGTTTTCTCAGTACTAATTCTGGTTTTTAATCAGTAACTGTTTTATAATACTAAAAAGTGCTTTGCCTTCTTGTGAACCTCTAAAAAAATAAACACCCCTTTAAATTTTAAGGCAAACAGTATTCCCCCCCCTGCTCCTGGCCAGCAGTTTTCAGTACAATACATTTCTTAAATGCAGGGGGGAAGCATCAGCATACTAACATACATAGAATACAGCAATGTGTATTTTCAGTAACACTGGCTTTATAACTCACCTTGGAAGCCTCAGATTGCTGCTCAGGGGAGCTCAGATGGCAGAGCACCAACAGCAGAGGTGCCACTGGGTACAGACAGGCTGGATCATATATCCACAAATTGCTCCAAGTGTTCAGATTGAAACACTTGTACTATAAAACATGGCAGGGAGGAAAAGAACTCCTACTAGCCCCAAGCATTTAAGAAAGGGCAGATGATTTTGCAGAGGAGATGAGGCAGTGCATAGGCAGGGCTCTCTGATTCAAACTCATGCATTTCTGGGCTCTTGCACCGTGTACTCAATGAGCTCCTGCTTAGCGCTGCTTTAAGGTGGAATTAACCAGGAGTTTTTCCACCCTGAAAGGTAGTTTTAGTACAGCAGGGTTTGCACAAACCCATGCTTTGGTAAATGAGAACAGTTGTCTGTTTTTAAGGGTTGTTAGGGCAAAACTTGGGCAACTGGATGAGTTTGATGAGCAGGGTGCCAGGGAGGTGTTTGGGGACCTGGATTTTGTGGCTGACTGCACGCGCAGCTGGGGGATCCCAGTCAAGTGCACACACTATCTCTGTATCTCACTGAAGCAGTAAAACTAGAGCATTTCTCAAGAGCATTAGGAGGCTAAATTCACAAATATTTGAAATTTGGCTTGAGAGTTCTGAGGGACAGGACTGTGGCGTGCCAAACTATGGCAGTACTGTGCACATTGGAGGCATGGTGAACATTAGCCAATTAACTGCAGATTATTATGTTTAGAGGAATTAAAATAAACCCCTCGATTCTGACTTGGTACAGCCAGGAGGGTGTAACAGCCCATCTGCTGTGTCAATATCATCCCCAGGTCCATTAGTGCAGGGTCTCTGGTACAGAAAAGCCGAGCCCCACACCAACACCATTCAACAATTGGTCGTGGACAAAAACTGTCCCTACCAGAGGCTGTCTGGGGAGAGCTGGAGGCATTTGGTTTTTATCTGACCTGATTCTGAGGCTCTCATTTCTTCTCACCGCCCAGTATTTCCCTTCAATATTCCCTTCAGTATTTTGGGAGAGGTGAATATAGCAAACAGCACATCTGATCAAGAACTCTGTCACCCCTAAGTATTTGCTTTCCAGTGTGCCTGGCCACAGTGGGAGCAGTGGTCAGTTCCCAAAGGACTGGATATCTCTGACTCCGGGAGCAGGAATCAGAGCCATGCAGATAAGGCTGTCATCAGAGATAACAGCAGTCAACAACCCTCAGCATCATTATCTCAGCAAAGGGAAAAAGCAGGCAGCCCCCCTTAATATACAAAGTGCCGTGGTTATATATGTCTCCTTTACAATGATAGATGGAAAGGGATAAAGGGAGAAATCTAACAGAAAGCCTTCAAAGCCAGCCTGCTTCACATCCTCGCTCTCCGAAACTGGAGCATGTTTCCATAAAAGCGGTAAACAGCCTCCCCCCAGCCCACACCCACGCTCGCCCAGCAAAGTGGCTCCAGCAAAACAATTTCACCGGCATGGATCTGAGCGAGGGCCGTTTTCCCCTCCTTTGGTTAGTGGAATTTCTTAAGAAGGAATAATGAAGCAGTGATTGCCAAACACACCTTACTGGAAGGCAAACAAATTGGCTGGATCAGGCCTTTTTAATTTGAAAAAATAAATAGAATAAACCTGAATTTATTTGCAATGGTTTGATTGCAGTCCAAAGCCATTGCACTGTTGAGCTCCTTTTCACCTTATAATCACTCCAGGAGCATGACACGATCCAGCCTGTCACTGTGCTGTGTGAGCTGCCCCAGGATTTACCCAGCTGCATGCTCCCCATGGCACACACAGACATGTGCAGTACAGGACCCAGCACTTCCCTGCCACAGCTGGCTGCTGCCAGACAGGGACCTGTGTGTCACCATCACCAAAACCCCAACACCAGCGTGACACTCTGCACTGCCCCTTTCAAACATGCAGGCCAGTTTGCAAAGCCCCAGACAAGCTGATCCTCAAAGAAACACCTTAATCAAAGCCGAAGAGGAAGCAGGGCAAATTAATAAGCAAAGATGTAAGGAAAAGGAAAAGTGGCAAAATCCTAAATAAAACGTCTGGGTCTGATTTCTTTATGTGCATTTCTGAAGTGAGAAGAAGCACACAGAAGGGCATTTAATTAAATCAAAGGGTAAAGGAAGGGGTTGCCATGCAGCTTGCTATTATGTTACAGTTCACTAAAATGAAAACTTATTTTTAAACCTCTGGTATTAATTTGAGATTATTCAGATACTTAATTAAAAGTGCAGCATGTGTTAAATATTATTTCAACAAAGATTATCATCAAAACCCTATGTAATAAGATCCTTCAATGCTTAGAGCGATATTTTATGCAAATTTTCTATGCCACCAAATGAAGGTCTCTTCAATTTTTTCCCCCCTTCTTCATTTGCTGCAGCAAAATGTTCCAGGCAGTGGAAAAAAAAAAAAAAAGGTTTCTAGAATAACAAGGATACTACAGATAATGTAGTGCAACAAATAGCAGCTCGGTGGTAGTCACGTTTCTGTGCTCAGCTCCCTTCCTGATACCACTCGGCAATAAAGGACGAGATCAAACAGGCTCCCATTAGAGCTAAAGGGCTGAATTTTGCTCCCACTGAGGTTACAGATGGTGTAAGCCAGGAGTAAATTTGCCCTGGCAAAACCCTGTCGGGGTAAGAAAGGCAGGAATTCACTCCTCATGCATCAGGAATGAACCAACAGTTCATACCTGGAACACATAAGATAACAAGGTTTCCAGGGCAAAGAATATGTTTTCCTGTGTGGGATTTCTCCTGTGAATGAACTCAGTGAAGTTGATGGGAACTAATCCTGTAAGACCAAGGTTCAGTGCTAAGTTTTCAGTGTGTTTTGCAGTTTGATTTCTTTTAGAGAAAAAAAGATTAAATACTTGCTCTAAGTGACACTATCCTGCCTGAAAACCAGCAAATGAAACCCTTAAGAAAATAATCAAATACTTAAATGGATTTCCCTCTTATATAATGGTTGTGTTACTCCTGCCACAAGCAAACTTCATTTATTGATTAGGGCCAGCATTGCACTGATTCCCTAACAAACCCAGGACTATTCCTGAGCAAAGACCTCATTGTTTAGAGCGAACGTACCAGTCGTGAGGAATTGCACACACTGGTTGGAACATACGAAACACTGCTATTCCACAATGCAGAACAACTTCAAAAATAGTTTGTTCTTACTATTCAGCATGCACTCAATATATTGATTTTCTAAAGACTGGGAAGGACTTCCATTTGTTAGAGGCTGCTGTCAAAATATAGGAAAAGGAACTACTTTCAGTTTGGGGAATAGTTCAAGCCATCATCAAAAAACAGAACAAAAATCTTCCAGGAACCAAAAATGAAAAATAATATTTTCAGTGTATTAAAGAGTATGTCCATATCCTACACCCCCAGCACCACACACACACACTCAGCTTCTCTCACAGATTCTTCACTTTCACGGCTGCCACGCTGTTTGAAAGCCCCCACTGAAACAACAAACCATGTATTCTGCTGAAATCACAGCCCTAAAAATCTAGGGATAGGAAATGCTGAAGGTATGTTATAGCAACTGTTAGCCAGCCTCGGATTGTGGTTGGAGGTAAACTGCACCAGCAACACGAGCAAGAGATAATATGGAGGAATAATTAAAAATTATCCAAGTCAACATATCAGAGTAGCAGAATGCCAGCCACGGCTTCAATCTGAGAGCCAGGAGGGGAATTCCTCTGCCCTGGATAAGGATTATCAGTGTGGCTGTCCTCAGAACAAACTGCGGGAAAGGTGCAATAAAGTGCATTTAAGGCAAAGAGAAAAATGTGGAGCCGAGGAGCAGTGCTCGTTTGTAACCATTTGCTCAGTCCTTCCTGCGCCTCGGTGGCTGCTGCGGCAGCTGCAGCGGGTCTGGCTGCAAACTCACACGGGCAAGCAGCTCGCCCTTGTACTTGCCAGAAAAGTTCAGAACTGGCCACTGATGCTACCAACAAATCCACATGGCATCTAAAAGGATTTTGGTTTAGTTTGGTTTTTAAAGGATGTTGTTAACAGGCAAAGAGAGAGTTAGAAAAAGTAATAATCACGGGATTTTAGTACTGAGTGTGCATGTTCTGAAAACAGAAAAGTTAGAAGTGATTAAACAAGAGGTAAAAGATGTTCCATCATGAAATCTACTTATAGCTGTATCTTGAAACAAAGATCTGAGCATAACATGATATATCATCTTGGGTTTCATACAGACCTGCATGCAAACAAAAAGCTGCTTTTACAGCAACTTATATATTCTATACACGCATTTACTCAGATGTTCTTTGGGGCGCATTTTTGCACAAGCAACACAATATTATTTCCAGGTATTTAA